CTGTCCAGGAGGCTTCATAGCAAGTGCTCAGTGTATGTGACAACTCACAGGAATAGAAGCAACTTTTAAAGCCAGAATTTATAGCAGACCGAGGCACCCGCATTCGGTGCAAGGCACATGGCAGCATGCAACTACTTCTCCCTCCTGACGCTCCTGCATCACCGCCTCCCGAAGGACTAGGTCTGCAGCGCTCACTGCCACATCCACAATTAAAGGATGGCGTTCAAAGAGCTCACGGGTTCTGCGATCGGTCCGTATTCATGAACGAACCCCAAGACAGAAACTGGCCCAGACGCTCTCATCGATGTTTCTAACTCTCTGTCTCTCTCCCTTCCTCTCTGTAAAAAAATCAATAAAACATATTAAAAAATATATAATAATAGACATATAATAATAGACAAACATTCAAATTAGCCATCCCTCCGCTATGCTAAGCCATGCCCACCAGCCACGCCCACCAGCCAATCTAGAGTGATATGCACATTAACCCAACAAAGATGGCGGAGGCCAGAGCCGGGATACTTGCGTCGCAGCCACGGCTACCATGCAAGCATCCCAGCTCTGGCCGCTCCAGGCCTGTTGGAGACGCAGAAGTCAGGGAAGACAGAGAAGTCTGGCTCCAGCTCCTGAGGCTGGCTGCGGCCTGGGAGACGAAGAAGCCGCCTGCCCCGTGATCCCAGGCCACAGCCGGCCGGAGAGGCTGCCTGCCCCACCTCTGCCCGCCCCATGTCCTTGGGAAGACTGAGAAGCCGGGCTCCAGCGCCTGAGCCTGGCTGCAGCCTGGGAGACGAAGAAGCCGCCTGCCCCGTGATCCCAGGCCGCAGCCGGCCAGAGAAGCTGCCCACACTGCATCACAGGGGACACGGAGAAGCCGCCCACCTATGGTCCAGGCACCAGCACCTGCGGCTGGCTGCGGTCCAGGCGCCAGACAAGCCACCCGCCCCGAGGTCCCAGGCTGCAGCCACCTGGAGAAGCTGCCAGCCCTGTGGTCCAGGGCGCCAGCGCCTGTGGCCAGGGAAATGGGTTCCCTCTTCTCCTACTGCAGTCATTACTCCAATATTCCCCTTCTGAATTTCTCTCCTGTGCCGCAACCCAACTCCACTTTTCATCTGAAGGATACGGAACAGAGAGAGCAGTGTTAAAAGCTTACATTTTTAAGCCAGTAAGGTTGGTACTTAAACATATAAATGAAAAACTAGAGTCCTTAAGGTAACAAAGGCTACAAAGGGAGGGGACAGGGACAGGGCATGCCATATTATATCCAGCAATCCATATGGGGACTGAAAACTGCAATGATGACAATTAGTGAAGATATGAATCAACTAAAATAGTTGACAGGGACAATTCTTCCATCTTTGAAAATATCTACGTCAAGTCTGCTTAAATAGATTTTCATCTGCATAATATAACACATTCTGATAAGACCACCACCACCAATGTGGTCAGTATTGTGCCGATAAATGTTTAACAACTGGCTCTCAACCAAAGAAAACAAAACTCTGACATATACTATCGGCCAAGTTCTGTGGCATAAATTCTCCATCCATGGCTGATTTCAGTTGCTAATGTGATGCCACTAAATGCAGAGCTGAGGAGAAACATGCAGTAATACACTATTATATTCTACCAGAAAGACCCAAAAGATATAAATAATGTCAAGAGTCAGAACAGTGTAGTAAATAATTGAGAAGTGATGAATTTAGAGTATGTATTACCTTTGGTTTTAATGTAATTTATTCACTTTTAAGATTATATAATTTAATTTTTAATAATGAACATGTTTAACAACCAGCTTACAAAATCCCTGAAAATTTGTGAGCCAGTAAGAGCAGGCTCTAGCACAGTGATGGCAAACCTTTTGAGCTCGGCGTGTCAGCATTTTGAAAAACCCTAACTTAACTCTGGTGCCATGTCACATATAGAAATTTTTTGATATTTGCAACCATAGTGAAACAAAGACTTATATTTTTGATATTTATTTTATATATTTAAATGCCATTTAACAAAGAAAAATCAACCAAAAAAATGAGTTTGCGTGTCACCTCTGACACGCGTGTCATACGTTCGCCATCACTGCTCTAGCACAATACTGAGTGGAGTGTAATGGTTAAATGGCATGGCTCATGGATTTGAAATGAGACTCAGCCACTTTCAGGTTTTACTGGTCAAGTTACCTGATCTCTATATACCTCAGTGTTCTCTTCTGTGTCATTATAGTACCTACTGTATAGAGTTGTTGCAAAGATAAAATGAAATCTGTGTATGACACAGCACAGTACCTGAAACAATAATTCAATTTGTTACAAACTGTTACTGCCTCAAAACGTTTGGACAAAATTACTCATGCTGCCCTAACCGGTTTGGCTCAGTGGATAGAGCATCGGCCTGGGGACTGAAAGGTCCCAGGTTCGATTCCGGTCAAGGGCATGTACCTTAGTTGCGGGTACATCCCCAGTAGGAGGTGTGCAGGAGGCAGCTGATCTCTCTCATCGATGTTTCTAACTCTCTATCCCTCTCCCTTCCTCTCTGTAAAAAATCAATAAAATATATTTTTTTAAAAAATTACTCATGCTGAAAGAATGAAATTTTATTGATGAGAAAAATGCCTTATTTTTCGATCTACATGGAGACAGTCAATTTTACTTCCTAGGCAGTAGATGGTAATCTACTAGAAACTGCAAGGGGAAAAATGACCTCAATCAACATGATTGAGGCAATGTATTATTAGCTGGATCATAAAGCAGAGAGGATGCCATACATTCTGGGATACATCTGCAGTAAGAGGCTACACCTCAGGTACTAATTCTGATCAGCTAAGCATCAGACTTAAAATGAATGGTGAGAAGGATTCTGAGGCTGCTTCTAGACTTAGCAGGAATAGAACGTTAACACATAAGCAACAGTTACTATGGTTAATGATGGCAAAAAAAAAAAAAAACACACACCATGATCTATTCTAATAAAAGGGTAATATGCTAATTAGACTGCACTTCTTCTAGAGGACCATCCGCACATCCTTCCTGACAAAGCCGGGCTGGGCGAAGCCACCTGCCAGCAGTCCCGGGCACCAGTGCCTGCAGCTGGCTGTGGCCTGGGAGATGGAGAAGCCGCCCACCCTGTGGTCCCAGGTGTCAGCACCTGCGGCTGCAGCTCGGGCAAAGCCACCTGCCCACCATCCCCTGCAGTTGCAACCGGCTTGGGCAAAGCCGGCCTGGGTTCCGAGTGCCTATGGCTGACCACAGGGAAGGAAGCCCAGGTCCCAGGTGCCTGTGGTGGCTGGAGGAGGGAATCCTGGGTCCGGGTGTAGGACTGATGCAGAGATGGTGAGCCAGCAGGGGAGCAATTAGGGATGATCAGGCTGGCAGGCAGAAGCAGTTAGGGGCAATCAGGCAGGCAGGCAAGCGGTTAGGAGACAGCGGTTCTAGATTATGAGAGGGATGTCCAACCTCGGTTATTTCCTGAGAGGACCCAAATTGGCGAGGGTGCAGGCCGGGCTGAGGGACACCCCTCCTCGACCCCCCCCCTCCTGTGCACGAATTCCGTGCACCGGACCACTAGTTATGTAATAAGTTAGAAGCTAGAAAACCCCATACCCAGCGGAGCGGCTCAGAACATGGAAAGCACAATTCGATTAGCTCCGTTGTACCCAGCCAGGCTAAGGGGCAAGATCGCACACTCCTCGGCAGGGCGCCTCTGCCAACACGAACAACAACAAAGGCAAGTAGAGGAGGCTGCACGGGCTTCACTCAGCACTTGCCGCTGCCCAGCTCCCGAAAGCTCCCCGCGCCCCAGGGATCGAGGGGACCCCGCATCCCGCCCGCCGCCAGCTCAGCTTTTGTCTGGCCGGGCCGGGAGCCCCGCCGCCCGCCTCCCCGGCACCCCTTCCCTCTGGATCTCTCCACACCCATCACTCGCCGACTAGCTGTGGTGGGTTTCTCGCCCTGGCCCCCTCCCCGTGCGATTCCGGGGTCTTTCCCAATGCGATTCGGGGTTCGCTGGCTTCTCCCACCGGCCGGGCTGAGTCTGGTCAGGGGTGGGGTCTGGGAGAGGAAAGGAGAAAGGGGCACACAAAGCAAGCTGACCTCACAGCCGGCACCCTCCCCCCAGCCTCTGCAAAGCAGCCTGGGACCGGCGATCCACGGGTTGGAAAAACACCCCTCCCATCCCGCTCCACGCCGGCTCCCACCTCGGGCCGCCCCCTCCCCCCAAAGTGCACCCAAGAGCCGATGACTATGCTGGACATCGCCCCCACCCCGTCCCGGCGCCCTCCACCGCGGGGAGGCGCGGGGGCCTGGGCGGGCTGGGCTCGACCTGCCCTCGCCCTCACCGCATACTTGCAGCCGCATTATTCGCTCGAGTTGCCGCTGCCTTACCAGATCGCCGCCGCCTTCTCCTCCACCCTAATGAGGTTAAGTGCTTGGTGCTGGGATTAAATAAAAAAAAAAAAAAAAAAAAAAAAGCCGAGAGCGCCTGCGCACTGCGCTCTCCCTTTTTCTCCTTACCGCCACCGACCCAGCGGGACCATAGAGAGTGTAAACCGAGGCCAGAGAGGCGGCTGCGTCTCTATGGTCACGCCCCGCGCAGGCGCAGGCGCAGGCCTGGCGGCGCCGGACGTGGGAGCTGGAATTCCGCGAGCTTTCGCCCTTGGAGCACGTCGGCTGACCCTGACGGGGACCCGTAGGGGGCAGGTTCCCTAAGGAATCCTGGCCTGGGTGCAGGTGGGCCCCCGGGGAACGGGCGGCAAAACGAGGCTAGACTAGGAGGGTCGGGTCTAAGCGGCCAGGCGGCAGGGCCCGGAGAGCAGGCGGTGTGGTGCGCAGGGCCCAGGAGGACCCGCCTCGGGCCGGCGTCTGACCCTGAAGGAGCCGGCCTGTCCCTTCGGGGTTGCGCGCTCCCCCGCCCGCGGGCCCTGCGACTTTCCGTACCGCGTCCCTTCTCCTTCCTTTCTGGGGTAGGGGTGGCACTTGCACCGGAAGCACACTTTTTAACGGTTCTTTGACCTGTTTGGAGCGGAGCCCGTTGGGTGGGACGAGCGTCTCCTCCACGCTGCGCTGCCCCCCTCGCGTTCCCCTCTTGGACAGGGCTGCGGAGCCAGGAAGGGCGCGTTGTGAGGCTGCACCTAGGGCTTGCCGCGCAGGAGCCTGCGCTCGCCGGTACCGACATTGTCAGCTTCGTGTCGACCCCACACCGCCTCGCGGAAACCCCTCGGTCCGAGTTGGCTCCCTCCATCGCCAGCGCATGGCGGAGCCCTGTGCGTTGCGTGTTCCCGGGCAGCTCTTGTGCGGCGCACCCCGTGCTGGGGGTTGTGTCCGGTTGGGGAGGGGCGCGGGAGGACGGCAGGTAACGCCCCGGCCTCCGGGCGCACACGTCGGGCTGGGGAGACGGCTCAAACAGTAGAGCCCTGTGTGGGCCCCTCTGCAGTGCGGCAGCGAGGACCGTGGGCCGCAGGAATAGGGTGACATGGGGGGTTTGGCTCCTGGGATCTGGAAGAGGTGACATTTCCAGGGCGAAAGCGCGAGCAGCCCTGTGAAAACGGGCAGGCGATGGAGAAAGCGCTCCGGAGCAGAGGCACCGCGGGGCGGGGTCCCCGAGTGCGTGTTGCGCTGGGAGTGAAGTGAGAGCAGCGTGCACACGGGACGGCGGGGGGGAAGGAGGGTGTGATGAAAGGAATGGGGGATGTGAGTCAGCAGCATAAAACGGACCGTCTTAACCATTTCTAAGTGCACAGTGGAGGTGAGGACACTTGCTCTCATAAAATGAATTCTGTACCGAGGCCCCTTCCCCCAGCTCCTGCGATCACCCTCCTACTTTCTGTCTGTAAATGTGACTACTCGGGTGCCTCGTGTAAGTTGAACCCTACAAACATATTTGGGGGTTTTTGCGTGTGACTGGCTCATTTCACTTAACGTAGCATCTTTAATGTTCACGCATGTTGCAGCATGTGTCAGGATTTCCTTACTTTTTAAGACTGAATAATGTTCCATTGTTTGCCATGGTGGACACTTGGGTTCCTTGCACCTTTTGGCTATTGTGAATAATGCTGTTATGAACGGGGCAGTGCATAACTCTTTGCTCTCAATAGGATGGGGAAGATTTTGAAACCAAGGGGAGAAACCTATACAGTTTCAGGTCCTTCGCTTGGGGTAAGAACATGGTGAAAAAACTTTTAGAAACTGGAAGCTTAATACATACTCCCTTTATGTAAAGCATTTATGGAGGTTTTAAGATATGCCATACATTGAGTACTACTTGAGATAAATTATTGATATATCATTAAACATCAAGATACTAGTAAATGTGAGCCAGTTGTTATTTACCACATTTTGTAGCTGCGAAAATTAAGTTTTGGGGTTACAGATGGGCTGAGAGGAGGCTAACCGACCACATACCCACAAGTAATTATGAAACAAAACTCCCATGGGAGCCCAGCACCATGGCCACTGACCACTCACTAGTTTGGACAAGAATGTTGAGAGAAAGTATTCACATGTCAAGAGTGAATGTTCCCAGAAGAAAGAATAGGCTGACATCAAGAGCTTTCCCTGTCAAATGACTGGAATGTATAATCAAACACCAAAACTGCATCTTCTGAGGTCCCTAAACGAGTATGGGAGTTAACTCCAGGTATGTTTATTGCCTTTAAAAAATACAAAATGTCAGGTAAGTATATCTTTGTAGGTAATATAAAAACACCACTTTCTAGTTAACACTTCATCTTTCATTTTACATTCTCAAACATCCTGTGAGATCATTTAAAGCAATGATTTCCTTTGGCAGGTGAGGAAATTGAGGACCAGAAAGGGAAATTATTTACCCAATGTCATATCATATGGCTGATTGGTACCAAGACTGCCACTGAAAGCTGAACCCCTGGAATTCCCTCTGTGCTGTGGGCTCCCTTGCAAAGATAGATACCAGTCAGTGTCATCTTCCTCAGGAGTACATGAAGCTAGTGCTGTTTAAACTGTGCATTATGAACAGCATTCATACACTCAAGAAGATTGTGTGCCAGACACTTGGCAAAGCAGGGGGAAAATTGCTGTTCTTAGAAGAGATAGAAAAATAATAAAATATATATCGGGTAGGGTAAGTATTGTGGGAAAAATGAAGCAGTGAGGCAGTAATGGAGAATGCTGAGGAAAGATTTCTGTTTAGTTGCTGCAAGAGGGGAGGGAGGCTCACTGAGAAGAAAACTTAGCAAAGATCTGAAGGAAGTGAGGGAACAAGCAATGTTCTTTATTTGGGAAAAGAGCATTCCAGGTAGAAAGAATGGAAAGTGCACAAATTATTCTGAGGCAGGAGGATGTCTACTACATTCTAAGAACAGAAAAGAGGCCAAGGTGACAGAGCAGAGCATGGGAGAGGAAAAGGAGGAAATGAGGTCATAGGTAACAGGATGCCAAGTTGTATAGGGACTAGGGCATTGTGAGAGGAAGCCTTTTAAAGAATCACTTTAGGTCGTAGCAAATTTGGCTCAGTGGATAGAGCACAGGCCTGCTGACTAAAGGGTCCCATGTTCCATTCCTGTCAAGGGTTCCATCCCCAGTAGGGATCGTGCCGGAGGCAGCTAATCAGTGGTTCTCATCATTGATGTTTCTCTCTCTCCCTCTTCCTTCCTCTCTGAAAGCAATAAAAAGAAAAGAATCACTTTAGCTTTTGTTTGAGAATAGATTGTAAGGGATCAGGGGTGGGGACAGGATTCTGCTGTAGACCAAGTGTGAGACGTAGGTGGCTTGGGCAAAGTGCAAGCATTGGAGGGGTGAGATATCTGTATATATCCAAATAAAATGATACACAAGATTTGATTGATTAAGGCATGAAGGGTGTGAGAAAAAGGAGAGTTAGATGCCTGAGCCACTTGAAGAATGGAGTTGCCATTTACTAAAATGGGAATAGATTAATTTTGGAGATGTTAAGTTTGAAATGCCTATTAACGTGGAAATATCAAGGATATATGAATCAAGTTCAGAATAAAGGTGCAAGCTGAATCTGTAAATCTGGGAGACATAAAAGTTATCTGAGGATCCTTGGAGCACTCAAGCATTTCAGGGATTGAGATGGTTATGAAACCAAAGGAGATAGCAGCCACTGAAATACAAGGAAACCATGGAAAGAAATCAGGACGAGCAACCAAGTCAATTGCCAAGAGGCTATATTGACCTTTGGCTCACATTGGAGTAGTGAGGATGAAAGCCTGATGGGAATGGCTTCAAAAAAGAAGGGTAGAGCCTGACTGGTTTGGTTCAGTGGATAGAGCGTCGGCCTGCAGACTGAAGGGTCCCAGGTTCGATCCAGTCAAGGGCATGTACCTTGGTTGCAGGCACATCCCCAGTGGGGGGTGTGCAGGAGGCAGCTGATCGATGTTTCTAACTATCCCTCTCCCTTCCTCTCTGTAAAAAAATCAATAAAATATTTTTTTAAAAAAAAGAAGGGTAGAAACAGAACTGGAGAGAGGGAAGATAGGTAATTTGAAGGAGGAATTTAGTTTTAAGATTAGGGGAGCAATAAAGTGGGGTGATACTTTGTGGGAGCACTGGTCCTTGGAGACCGGGTATTAGATGGAGAAGATATGAGAAGCCGTAGACATATAGGAGAAACTTTATTGTAGATCAAGTAACCATTGCTAACAAGGAGCCATCAGACAAAACAGTTCTTCAAACTAGCTCCACATAGCAGCCGCTAATAAAGCAGTCCAGCAACCGGCTGGTCAACAACGCATCTTCATACCAACTCAGACAAAAGAGGCTTCTTGCCAAACAGTGGCATCAGTATTTGGATTATAGAAAGGTACACCTGCGCAGTGTGTACAGTAAGATTGCTGTGTCCTTGCTTTTGCATCTGCATGTGGCAAATTGGCCTTGAACATCCCACTGACTCTGACGGGCTCCCACACTCACATTGGTCTTGAACATCTGGACAGGGCCCCCACATACTTCAAGGTCAAGGAAGTAATTTATGTCACCCATAAATATAGTATTTCTAAGTTACTAGTAAAAAGTTTTTATAAATATAACCTCAATACCACTATCTCACCTAAAAATAATTCTAAAAAACATTCATCTATCATATCATGTTAGATCTCCTTAAATGTTTATTTTTGCTACCAGATTTACTGAGATATAATTCAAATACCATACAATTAGCTCATTTAAAGTATACAACTTAATGAATTTCTAGTATCATCTACCCTGTCAATCTTTAAATTTTCCTATGTCTCATATTTTTGATACCAGATTTATTGAGATATAATTCATACATATAATTTGCCCATATAAAGTATACAGTTCAGTAGTCTTTAGTACATTCAGAGTTGTGCAGTCACCACCACAATCCATTTTAGAACATTTTCATCACCCCACAAAGAAGTTCTATACCCATTAGGAGTCACTACCCATTTTATTATTCTTCCCATCTCATACAATAATGTTCATTCCAAAGCCAAGTTTATCAATCATTAAATCCAATAAGTTAAAAGCATTGTGAGAACAGGGAGATTATGCCAAAAGCCTTGACTCCTAAATTCTAATTCTTGGCTGTGCCTGCTCTCAGCTGGTCACATTCTCAGGGTCTTATCCACAGAGTAAAATATTGCACTAATGGTTTCTAAAGGCACACAAGCTTTATGATTTTATGCCTTTTTTATTATCATTACAATTTTGAGGATGACAATTTTTATTAATGTCATCGGCTCTTCCTGTTTTTCTCTGCTTTCTGATTATGTTTTACTCAGCAACTGATTTATAGATACCTGGCCTCTAGGTATCAGTTCCTATAAGAAGTGCAGCTTAGCCCTAGCCAGTTTGGCTCAATGGGTAGAGCATTGGCCCGCGGACTGAAGGGTCCCAGGTTCAATTCCGATCAAGGGAATGTATCTTGGTTGCAGACTCGATCCCCAGTAGGGGTTGTGCAGGAGGCAGTTGGTCGATATTTCTCTCATCGATGTTTCTAACTCTCTATCCCTCTCCCTTCCACTCTGTAAAAATCAATAAAAAATATATTAAAAAAGTAACTGCAGCTTGGTCATAGAAAACTTGCTAGATCAAAATATGAGCAAGTGACCATCTCAGGGTGGTAAGATTATTGGTTATTTTTAAACTTATGCCATATTCTTTACTTTATTCTACAAACATTTTTTATAATTTTTAAAAGTCATTCTTAAAGGATTTGATGGAATGCCCTAACAAACAGAAATTGCTAAACTCTGGGTAAGAGGATTTCCCCCCTGTGATTC